ATATATGCAACAACAGTGTGTAAAAAAAGGGAAAACATACGTGCAATATTTCCCAAAGAGAAAGCTGGAGTTATAGCGCTTTCTCTATGAATCTGGTAAGGCCACAAGACTGTAAGACTTGCTGTGGGCTAGGTATGTCCTTCTTCTCTGGGCTCTACAACACAACTGGCCTTTATCACTTCACAGGCCATTATGTGACCCTGGTAACTTTATCTTAACAAAGGAGAGATAATTGTCCTTTGTATCCCTACAAGATTAATTCTCTTTGATTCAAGTGTGTGTAATGGGCCTCTTCATTTAAATTTTTTTTTATTTAAGATATGTGCATTAGAATAATTTAAGTGGTGTTAAATCTGGTAAAAATCATAGGTTTTCAGCACCATCTCTTCCTTTAATCCATCTAAATAGAAAAGCCTTGCCTGGATAAAGCTTGATTTTATGTTGCAAACAAGAAAGTGCTTCTCCTTCTCTCCATTAAATAACTGAAGAATCTGTGACAGTAATGATTTTTGAAGCATAATGTATAGGTGTATACATTTTTAGGGAAATCCTAGTTTTGACAATATTATCATTACACATAAAATATTTTACAAGCACACAAATAAGCTAATTAAAGAACCAACATAATAAGATTACATTTCTTGCAGGCTTGCATTTTCATTTCCATCATCACATTTTGACTTCAGGCTTAATAGATAAAAGTATTAGTTTCATTTAGTAATTGATAGTTGTGAATTGAATCCTGAGGTCAAATGGTGCAGGACTAAATACATGCAGTGGATAAAACAATGGGGTGATGATTATGGCAGATGAACAAAAGAATCCATGAATAAAAAAGGGTTTTATTTACTCTTGGACTATTGTCCTCATCTTTGTTGTTATTATCACAATGTTTTGGCCATTGTGTTCTCCAACTTTCATCAGGTGTTTGTCAATCCAAGGAAATTTTAAACACTTTATTTTATCTACATAAGAGATTGTTATCATTCTACAGTTCATGTCTAGGGATATTTTTTCTTTTTCTTTTTTAGTAACTGTTTTTAATAACCTGATTTGGTGATAAAACAAGATTCCAACAAAGAATTGATACACAATGTCTTCAAAAGGATGTAAACAAACTACTTCTGTAGATGGAATATAAGATTCAGTTTAAAATTCCAAGATTACCAATTGCGAAAGACATGTAAAGAAACTGGTGTTTTTGATGAGCCAAATTTTATGACTGCAACAAGTTGAGGATGCTAGTCCAGATTTGATCAAGGATAATTCTCAATCTCAAAAATTAAGCTCTGTAGATATTATCGAAAGATTACTGAAAATGACAGACACTAGAAGTAAGATGGCAGTTACGAAAATGTTGTGACTCATGTAATGGTAATGGTGATGTGAGATTTTTCTCTACAGGAAACATTCATCATTCGTTGACTGAACACTTAACGTTACCGTCACCTGAAATGTTTCTCTTAAAACAAAGTCTTAAATTAGACCCACTAACTCTTTTTAGTATTGATGGGAGTTTTCTTTCAAACTTTTTAATAGTGGCAAAGTCAACATCCTGATTACATCATTATTTTGACTTACAGCCATATCAAATTGAAACACCAGTTCTTATACAGTCACTGAAGTTAAGCAATGTTGATCCTGGTCAGTACCTAGTCCACTTGAATTCCAGCCATGCACAAAACACAATGACTCAGCACACAGTGAAAACATGAAAATAAGCTAACACCAAAAACTGCCACCTTGAAAATGGCTGAAGAAGTGGCCGAAAGAACTTGGGACAATCAACGATATTGCCAATTTTCTATTCGCTCAATCTCACCAAACGGAAAACCAGGTGCTGTAAGCTTGGTTGTGTGGATGGTGCAGAGGATAAGGGCTTGGAATTGTAAATCAGAAAGCTGAGTTCCATATCCAATCAGGTTTGTTATACTCACTTATACACAAATACTTTTGTGAAAGGTATGAATCCACCTTTTCTCCACCAAACTACAAGTTAATTAGTAGGACTTGTATTATTAAATCATTATTATCTCCAAAATATTCTTACAATCTAAAAAATATTTTCTGGCTGTAAATAACTTGCAATAGGTTGATAATCCATAAAAAACAAGTTAATCAATCAATATATCATTATTTTATCTTCTAGTTACATGTACTACCCAATTTAGTTGTTGCTGTTGGTGGAAGTCTTCAAGTAATTTGGTAGAGCTCTTTGTGATCTTTTAGCACCAGACTATATGGTCTAATGAATGATTTTCTTGAATTATTTTATTTCCTATACTAAATTTGTTATAATGGATTTATACACAGTTATTTGAACTATTTAGATTAATTAATGTGACAGACACAAAAAGAAAGATGGCAGCTACAATGACCAGAATTGTTGTGACTATAAGAACCAAGATGAGGATGAGTTCAAACAAATCAAAATATAATAATCCCAATAATTTGCTTCAAAAAGTCAAAGAGAAGGATTTATTATCTTCACTAGCTGCCATCTTCTGAAGTGGTCATTTTTTTCTTCCTATTTCTTTATAAAATCTAAGTACCCTTTTCCTGTAATAATACCACTCCCATCCATTAATCAATACATGCTTGATAAGTTCACTACCATGATGGATTTGTCAACAGCAGGTGCTACACCCAAAGTAGAGAAGGGCACATGAAAGGAACTGTATTTATATATTTTCTTATTATTTTCTTTTCTTATTATTTTCTTTTCTTATTATTTCTTATTCATCCATGTTGTGTCTTCAGGAGATATGTTTCTTTGATTTTTTTTTTTTTGGTCTTTCAATCAAAAGGAATTTTTGTCTGTTTGCTTAGATCATTCTCTTCAGTTTGATCTGTGACATGCAGAAAGGAATTCTATGGCTTTCATTCCTACCATTAGTTCTTCATCATATGATAGAAAATAAGCAAGATTTGTGGCTCTGAGAAAAATATTAAGAAGAACAAAAGATTTTTGCAGGTGATTTTCATCGTTGGTGATCATTCCCTTTAGTTTTACCATTTCCAATTCTTTGAATTTACTATGATTTCAGCATGCATGCACACAAACACACACACACACATATATATATTTATTATTAAACATTATTTTTAGTGAAAAGTTATATTTCAGTAGATGGTCCATTTATTTATTAAACAGTATATTTATATATTTTCATCTACAGGCCTAAATATTTGAGAAATATTATTAGAGAAAACTTTCTGATAGTATTCAAACCAGAGTTCCCCTAGGAAAAACTGTCATTAGAATATTTAAGTAATAAAATTCTGTCTTTAATATGTGATTAATAAATAAAAATATATTCATCCCTTTCTTTATACATATATATATATATATATATATATATATATACAAAGAATAATCACACATAGAATTAATCAGAAGTTTTAATGCGATTATTGGCGACATCCGTCGCTAGAAAACATAATATATGCATTAAAATCCTGTTCATCCAGAGTGCGAGTTTTGATCCTTGAAGAAAAACTTGTTGTCTGTAGTTTTTCAGTTTATTTGATGTTAAAATGCTAGTACTTACAGACGGTCTTCCATCCATCATCAGGCATGTGTTTTTTTTTCTTATAAAATCAAAAACTTGAGACGATACATCTGTATGTCGACCGAAAGATGTTTTTTGAATATCTGCTATATATATATATATGTATGTGTGTGTGGGTGTGTGTATGTATATGTGTGTTTTCTGTGTGTGTGGGTGGGTGTGTGTATATATATATATGTGTGTGTGTATGTATATATGTGTATGTGTGTGTATATGTATGTGTATATATATATATGTATGTAAATATGCATGCATGTATATATATATATATATATGTGTGTATATATATGTGTATATGTGTGTGTATATATATATATAAATATATATATATATGTATGTATATATGTGTGCATATATATATATGTGCATATATGTATATATATGTGCATATATATGTGTGTGTGTATGCATATATATATATATATGTATATATATGTATATACATATATATATATATATATATATATATATGAGAGTTTGTTTGACGATCGCTAAAGCGTGAAACCCAGGGTCACAAACTCACATCTATCCAACCAAATATGTTAGCTCTATCTCTGATATTGAGCACTTTCTAATAAGTACCGCATATAATATATATAATAATTATACATATATATATTTATTTATATTTATATACACTTTTCACATATATATATATATATATATATATATATATATATATATATATATATATATATATATATATATATATAAAAAAAAAAAAAGAACAGTAAGATATATAATCCAGTGTTCTTATTGATAGTTTTTATTTTTACAAAACAGTGCTAAATGTAAATTTATGGAGCATAAATTTTATAAATCAACTGATTTAAAATTATATATATATATATATATATATATATATATATATATATTCACATGTATGTATATGAATATATATTTATCCTTTCCTCATTCCCCCATACACAGTTTTTTCTCTAACCTTCACTCTATCTCAGTGTGTTCATGTACCTATTCCTATTTATTTATATATTTATCACAGTTTGTAAATATGTATCTATCAGAATCTGTTGATTATCTATCATATTCTTTTCATATCTATCTCACTCTTCTTATATTTCTCTCAGTCTGATCATATCTATCTCAGTATTTTCATATCTATCTCAGTCTTTACCTATCTATCTATCTATCTATCTATCTATCTATCTATATATATATATATATATATATATATATATATATATATATATATATATATATATATATATATATATATATCTCAGTCTTTTTCATATCTACTTCTCTATCATTACATACTTTTCCTTTTTAGGAATTTTTCTTTTTTTTTTTCCCTCAGCTTTATATTTTATTTCTGAGTTGCTATTCATGTCAAAATCAATATGATGTCATATAATGAACATATATTCTCACATCCATTGTGTCTACATTGAAATGCATCATTTTCAGTTCCAGATGCAACATGTGATAATGCAGCCTGCACCGATGAATGTGTGCGCACACCAATGGTGGAATCTTCTGAGCCTTTCCATTGCCTCTGCCCTGACATAGGCAACTGGATTCTCTCCTCTGACAAAGCAACATGCACTGGTAAGTCACAAAATTATGTTATCTCAACAAGCCTTGCTAAACAAAAATAATTAATATTACAATTAACATATATATATATATATATATATATATATATATATATATATATGTATATGTATATAATCCCTACATCTCCATATATGTCATCTGCATTGCATTAACTGCATGAAACTCCAAGTAGTGTTATCAACATTTGATATTATATTCACTAATATATACTTATAGTTGTTTCATAACATTGAGCATTGTATTTATAACAACTGAGGAATAAATATACTTACATACATACAAGTATTTTGCCTGTATCTACATTTTTTCCTAGTCATTCCTATATATATATATATATGTGTGTGTGTGTGTGTGTATATATATATATATATATATATATATATATATATATATATATATATATATATATATATATATATATATGTCTGAATATAACACCAATTGGGTAAGTGACAAATTCTATTTGTATTAATCTTATATATATATAATATTCAGACATACACACACGTATACACTCACATTCAAAGGTTACTCTGAGAGTTTACTTTACATGTAATAATATTTATTTTATCAAAAATACAAATAAGGTATTAGACTAACCGTTGTGTTTAACCCTCCTACAGTAGAATGAACTCTTCCTCCTCTCATAAATACAAACTGTGAGAGTCGGATAGTACAAGTGAAATGGAGTAGTAGACACAGTGCTAATCTACTTATTACTAACACTATTGTTTTGAATATATCTTCAGTATACATTTTCAACCTACTTTCATCTTCTGTGTCTTTCTTTCTGGCCCCTGAACAGGCCACAACACTAACAACAGCAATGGGGAAGGCTTTACACATCTCAAACATACTACCAACACCATAATGTCACAATTAGTTTTATGTGTTTTGTGAGTACAGAGGGTGGGGAGATAATAACAACATGATTAAAAAATTATCTCAAGGAATATTTACAGGCAATAAAATTATTTGCAGAAACAAAGGAAAAAAATAATACTAATCATGGCAGAAATAACAGTTAACCAGCCAAAAAATGAAGGATTGAATAGTAATTGAATTCTTCACTCAAGAATGTACTTAATCAAAGACAATAACAAATATGAAAACACATGAAAATGAAAGGCGTCTTTTACATACTAGAGAACTATAATCTCAGTCTTCTAAAAGGAGAGGAAATGAGAATTAAACTAAAAAAAGGGGAGAAAAATTAATGCTCCTATGAGCATAGATACACTAGACTAAAATAGTCAAGTATTACTAAAAAGGACTGTATTCTAGAATGCACTAACATTTTTCCTTTCTATTTCAGAGCCACAAAACTTTTTAATTGTTGCTGACCTGAATGCAATCAAAATGAAAGGACTTGATAACAATTTAGACAGCAAGATCCACACCTTACACTATGGCCATGCGGATAGCAATTTTGTCGCAGTAGTTTACAGCCATGAAGATAAAACCCTTTTTTGGAGTGATCTACATGATGGACGGTAAGTTTCTGAAATCTGACATTCTTTCAACCTTGTGGTTTCATCCATCATCAAAATATCAAGGATGAGTTGCTGTTGATCTCTTGTCAAGGGGCTTTTTCTAGAAATACTCAATCTTTCCTCTTCCACATTTAGGCTTCAGGATAAAAAATGTCAGATTTCAATATATATATATATATATATATATATATATATATGCTAGCTTGTGTATCACTTTTCCGTAAGACTATATAATTTAATCTTTTGGTTCTTTCTTTTAATGATATATCTTTATGAAGTGAATTAACTTTGAAAAGTTTATTTTTCCTTACTGCTCCCTGATAAAAAATTGCCAAATCATTCATTCTCCATTTTTAGCTGGATAACAAAAATATAATTGATTTCAAAATGATATTATACATATAACAGCCTTATCCAGTTTGTTAATAACAAATGAAGAAATACCTGACTACTGACAATCCCTTTCTTTTTTATTTTCAATTCAACTCTGTCATAAAATCATTTACAATGAATTTCTTTAGTAATGTTGTTAGTAATACATTATCATTATAGTGATATGAAAAACCCTATTCTGACAGTAAAGATTGCATTAATTCCTGACCAATGACAATCCTTTCTTTCTGATGTTCAATGCATTTCTATAATATAACCACTTACAATGAATTTCTTTAAAGAATTATTAATGCATTTTCATAATGCATATTATGTCCCAAAATTACTTACATGCTGGGCAGCAACTATTCAGGAAACAGAAAATTGAAAAAAGAAAAAGAGTTTTGAAAGCACACTGCTTTTTATAATAGTACCCTATGACCCTAATCACATGACTATATGTATAAGAAAAGTAACCACATGTTCTTGTTTATTTTATTTTTTATTTCATTTATTTATTTATTGTTTGTGATTTCAGTTCCCACAAATTTTAGAATTTTTTAAATTCATTTGTTAACTAATCCATTTTAAGCATTCATGCTACTCTGGTGTATTTCATTCATCCTTTACCCTTTAAAAAATCTTCACTTTCTTGAACCAAGCAAAGCACTCACTAAGCATGATCTGTTGCCAAGTTTTTGCGAGGTGGAGCTAAATATAAACTTTATACCTTCTGGATATGCCTCTGATATTAATATTTTTTGTAAGTTTTCTAGCTGAACAGAGATAAGTATTAAATAATCAACTTTGTGAATGTTTAATATTATCTTTCATTGTATTTCTCAGTCTATCATACATGCACCAATAAATTAGCAAAGAATATTTTAGAAAAAAACTAATAATAATCAACTAATGATTTATCCATCCTTATATTTTTCATATATATTAACATTATTTTGATTTTTAATTATAATTTAATTCTATAGATTCATTATTTTTAATTCTGTAGCCATTAGAGAACTTATGCTTAAGGTCGAGTATGCAGAGTGAATTTAATTTTTTTAGTGTGCCTTACATCATGAGATTTACAGTATATATATTTTCTATTTGCTAGATTGAATAAAAGTTTAAATCCAAATCATATCATAAACAGGTATTAAAATAATTTGTAATTCATTTCTACAGTAAAATAATTTACAATATAATTATACTATAGAATAATTTACAATGCATTTATATAACAAAAAAATTTACAATGCAATTTTTATTGTAAAATAATCTGCAATTCTATAACTGTAGTAAAATAAGTTACAATGTAATTCTAAACATGCTTTTAGTTTTTGTTGCATTATTACATACATAATCATAAGACTGAAAAAAGTCCTGATTTATTAAGTACTATCCATGTAAAAAATAACTAGTATTAAAATAGTTTGCAATGATTACCTTTAGTAAAATATTTTCTACTGAATATCTGTATAAACTTTTAGTATTTAGTGCATCAATATTTATGTAATTTTTTTGAATAAATCCTACCTGTGATATTATAGGTTGCATAGAACCTGCTACTTATGAAAATTCTGTTTCACACACCTTATTGTACAAATGTGTACTAAGGCCTTTAATAGAAATCTTCCTTTTATCATTTTTGTGTTTTACAGCCAAGCAGTTCTTCATTCAGATATAGAATCTGTTAATGCCCAAGTGTTGATGAATGTTAACTATTCAATCGACTGTTTGGCTCTTGATGAGAAACATCAAAAAATATACTGGACAGGTTACAACAATGAAACAGGTCTCATTGCCGAGGTCACCCTAAAGCGTGGTGCTTCTTCATACAAAGAATTATTGTTGAACCTTGATTCTCCAAGGGCGATCACCATTCACCCAGATAAGAAGTAAGATATAGAATATTTTCTTTTAATGTTTCTGGGCTTTTTGCTCTATCTTTCTTTCAATTTGATTTTCTTTTTTTATTAATTTGTTTGCCATATGTATTTTTCTTTTGTTTTTCTCAATAAAATCATTCCATATTTTCTTCTTTCTTCTCCATTCTCTCTATATACTTTTCTTTTTCCTCTTTCTACAAATTTCTTTAGTTATTCAACTTATTTGCATCATTTTCTTCTTTCTACATGTAATTTTCTTTTTTCTCACTATAAAATTCTTTTGTTTTTCTTTTTTTCTTTCTTTCTCTTGCTTTCCTTCTTTTTCTTTCTCTTTTATTCTTTTACTTTCTTTTTTTTCCATTGTTCAAACTTTCCATTTCTCTAAATGTTTCCTTTTCTATTTGATTCTTTCTTTACTACTACAGGTTTATATTTTGGACTGAATATGGCCTAAAGTCAGGAAAACCAGCTATATACAGGGCTCATCTGACTGGACGACATCATAAGACATTAATGACAAAAAAGTTACACTGGCCAAACAGCCTTGTCATTCATCAAGATGAATTGTATGTGGCTGATGGATTTTATGGACGAATATATACTATGGACTTTAAAGGTAACTTACAATTTGTTGGCAGCTCTGTTTAAAATTAAAAAGAGAGTGATTGAGGAATTTTACTTGTCTCAAAAAGATGAAAATCAGTCCCTTTAGGATTAATAAAAAGATAATCCAGTGATTATTAGCTTATCTAATGTTTAATAAGTAAAAGTAATTTTAGAGTAAAGAATTCTCAGTTAGTTTTTTGATTGTACATTCTTCTTAAATTATTTATATTATTGAGATGAGTTCTCAAGCCTCAATCCCATCTCCTTTGAAATTGTACAGAACATATTGCAGGTATTTTAAATGCACACCAAACATAGAATTACTACTACTCCCATCTAGCACAGGTACTACTGATTCTACACAATATAGCTTAGAAGATAAACAGAAAAAATATTCTCACAATGACCACCTTGAAAATGACTAATGAATTGGTCAAAAATGCTTGGGACAATAATCACTATAGGTAGTCCTTACACTCTTTTAGTTTTCATAAAAGAAAAACTGTAAGAATGTTAGAAAAACTGAATAAAAAAACTTATAACAATTTTCTATGTCCATCACATTCATTGAAATGCATATAAAATAAAAGACACATATTTTATTTATCAAAAAGACACATCATTATTTTTCTTATTTGAGATAATGAGCTATTTGGTTATGATGTTAACAAGAGGCATTTTACTCAATGTGAATAAGTGAACATGAGCTGTGTTACTATAACAGAACATCTCATTACTATGTAGATCATTACTATGTAGATCATTACTATGTAGATCATTACTATGTAGATCAACCTGCTCAGTTATTGCTTTTTATTTCTTTTGTTTTATCTGAGCTTTCTTTAGATGTTTAATGATTTAAAAAGTAAAATTCTTTATTATATGCAGCAATAGTCACTTGGCTAGATAAAAAAAAATCCTATATTCATATATTTATCAGCCATGCAGCATGATCTCTCCTACATATTAATACTTATAAATATGAAAATATTTATTGAAAAATCACAGGGAAGTTACTTTATGCTTTCATTTGCCTTTTCTATAAATATTTTCATGGTAATTGTTCTGATGAGTTTTCCCCTTTGATATCTAGACTATGAATTTAAGCACACTACTAGATTGGTGGCAAGATCTCATCATTTTCAGTTGAAATGGCTAGATGTAACTATAAGTTTTATGCAAATAGTTTCTTTTCTCGCACTTCTCTCCTGTGGAACTCTCCTCTGGCTTCTTGCTTTCCAGTCAACTTTGATATTCATAAACTTAAATGCAATGTCAGTTGTTATCTTCTGTCTTCTTAATTTCTGTTCATTGTTCTCTCTCCTTAATATTTTCTTTTCCTCATATTCTTTCACAGACAGTAACCCCTTGTGTCTTAATAACTTCATTGCTTTGCTTGGGATGAAATGATTAAAAAAAAATAATGGGATATTCCATTGTTACGGTGATAAAAGATATTACTCAATGTCAATAAGTAAATATGAAATGTCTCATTAGTAAGTAGACTATATTAGTCAACTAGTATATCGCTTTTTATTTCTTTAGTTTTGTGTTACCTTTCTTCAACTATTTTAACTTATTTAAAAAGTTTAATCCTTTCTTACATAGGACAACAGATTTAATTGTAATCCTAAATTACTCATTCAGAAAATATGACTAATGCCTAAAATTGCTTAAGTATCAATTAAATATCAATTGATTAAATATTAAATATTTCTGTCATTTTTGATGGCATGAGTTGTATTCGCTTTCTTTGAATATTTTCACTTATAAAGATTTAAAAAGCAGAATTCTTTCTTACATGTGATGATACTTATGAATTGTCTAGATTAAAACCTGTATTCTTTGACTGTACTAGGTATATATTTTTAATATGTTCATTTATATTTTATTTCATAGCTTATCATTTACAATTATTTTAAGAAGCTGAATTTTATTGACATTCTAGGTGATTATTTAAATCTCTTATCATGAAATTAATAATGATCTGTTTATTATAATAGTTAGTTAAATTTTATACCTTATTTTATATCTTATATAATGCATTTAATTTATGATATGGAGTTTTCTTTGAACATATGAGCTGCAGAAGCTTTGCTCTCATTCCAAAATAAAATGATGAATAAATAGATTATTCCTATATGACAATGGTTCCCTAATTAATGGGCATAACCCAAAGGCAAATTACAAGGATACTTCCAAGGATCAGAGTATGGGTTAGAAAAAATGAGAGAAAAAAAAAATAAAGGAAAAAAAGGAGAAAAAAAAGATAAAATTGGAAAAAGAAAGAGAATTAGTAAAAATAAAGAAGAAAATACAAAAAAAAATGTTAGAATAAAAATAAAATCTTTCTCTTAAAACAATTTTTCGGGAAAATAAGTTTCTCAAGTTTACTAACTTTTATTGCTCTTTTCAGTATTGATAGAAGTTTCCTTCTTTAATTTTGTTTGAATTAATGTAGAATGTCAACATCTTTACATTGCATGTTGCTGCTATGATATGATTTCTTTTATTTGGTACAGTTCTTTCTTTGTGATTCTGTAATGCTGGTCCATGAGGTTTGAAGTAGGATGGTCCTCTCTAAGACCTACAGAAGTCATTTTTAATAACTGATCTGAGAAAGCAGCTGACAGTTTAAACTTTGGTGCCATGCATAACATTCATATGAAAGTTTCAATCTAACAAGGCTATTTATGAATATGACTCAAGTTAATGTTCTGGCTTTGTAACTGTTTGTAGTGTTGGGTGAAATTACTCCTAGTGCAGCCTATTCTATGTTCTATTTCCTTATCTCCTAAACTGAATTTGTTATATCAGGTTGACTAGAGCCTAGCTCAATCACAGTATAATTTCTTATTTATGGTACTACAGTTTTCGATGAATGCGATACACACATGGTATATTTACATAAAGTTCTGGTTTTCATTTTCTTTGAACAAGAGGATAAATATCAAGAATTATTGATTATTAAATTAAAATTTAGTAAAATTTAATGGATGAAATTAAATAAAGAAACACTGAAATTATGTTTCCATGTTTAGGGTTGCCGGTTCCCCAAAATCTGAGTTCAGGTTTGCAGCCCCTGAGAAACATTTGCTATATGACAACAGAAACAGAAAAAATGACACAACTCTTCATAAACAGCCATAAGTTGAAGATAGAAAGTTAATAGATGTTTGAGAGAAAGATCATTAATATGGGACACTTGTCGTAAATTAATACACAGTCTTTTATGACTTCATGATTATGCAAAATTGATTATCTTGCCTTATTTATTTATAGTTACAGCAAAATAGGAAATTCTTTGAGAATCAAGAAAGTAATTGTTTTGACTATACTTTTATACTGAACTAATTAGTGAAGATCATTTTGTCATTTTGGGAAAATAGAAAATTAATCTTTGCTTTTATATCCTGCATAGTATTTGCCATTATTTTAGATAATGGTCATAAGGTAAATTGTTCAATGAATCTCTTTAATTTAAAATAACAATAGATGATCAGTTTATGACATTACAGAATTAAACTTGTCCCTGTTCTGCATTTTGATACAGAAGTAACCAATTTTTGTAATCAATCTGAGATAGAATCTTTTAAATTAAAGTAACTGGCTGATAGCATAAATCACAAGATATAAAAATTGAATCAATTTACATTTGTTTTTATAAATACCATATATACTTGAGTATATTGCAAGTTTTTATGATCAGCTTTTTATGCAAAAAATAGGTGGTCACACTACACACATGTAATGATTTTGGAAGAAATTAAAAATCATGCATTTTGGTGACCAGTTGCACTATACACTGGTAATTTTTTTTTCAAAAAAGTCAGCAATTGTACTATACATGAATTCATCTTATACATGAATATGTATGGTAACTTTGAATTATAAGCAAGTTATTATTATTAGCAAAGAAATGAATGCTAAACTGCTTCTGTAATTTCAATCCTTCTGTATGGCAATGAACTCTTTTCCTCATAAATGAATGAATGTGTTGGTGACGTAATGGATAGAATGAGAAATTGGAGTGCCGAGTTCAAATTCCACACAGATTTGTTACATTCACTTATGCCCAAACTTAAGAAAGGTATGAACCCATATCCTCTCCCACCAGCTATAGTAGGACTTGTTTTGTGAAAAATCATTGTTATTCTCAACAAATTGTTGATACAATATTCACTCCCAAAAAAGAATTATTCTTAGAATCCAAAATATGTTTTGGCTTTAAATAAACCACAAAGTGTTGATAAGCTGTAAAAAACAAATCACTCAATTCTCACAGATCAAAAGGATATTTGAGATGTTGCTTTACAGAAAGATGCTGAAAATATCATAGATAGAACATGTGAGCAACAAGGAAGTTTCAAGGAAATTGTGAACAGAAAAGTCACTTATAGTTAGAATCAGAAAGAAACACAGTTAAAATTTCTAGGCTTGGAAAATTTGACACTTACAGAACAATTTGAATTATTATCACACACACAAGGCAAAAGGAGGAGGCAGAGAGAAACAGTGTGTAACCAACTAACAAGCTTGTGCAAATGGATGACAGAACAGGAATTGGGTGGGATTGTAAGGGAAAATCATTACTTACAACTACAAAGAATAGGAAGTTGTGGAGACCACATACTGAACAGAAATGGTACATAAAAGAAGTAACTTAGGGACAGGATCTTTCAGATAACATTTTTTTAATTCATTTTAAATAAAATAACATTTGATAACAATAACCATTTGATGCTATTATCCATCTTTATAATAAATGGTTTCCTCTACTATTTACAGTCATTTTGCATGGAAGAATTGTTTTAAAACAAAAAAATGTGACTTAATCATAATTAGACAAAAACCAAATTAAAATTTCAAAATATGAAATATCATATTGAGCAGGGTAGAATCCAAATAAAAAAATGATGATACAGTCAGCAATCAATGACTTGGTAGAGATTTTGAAGTCTTTCTGTAAACGTAGCTATTTTTCATTTCCATTTGAGTCATAGCTCTTTAGCACTAGTACTAAAAAAAAGGAGTAAAGTAAAAAAAAAAAAATAATAATCAAAGAAATTTACCATAAAACCAATAAATACAAAAATTATAAAGAATAAGACAGAAAGTATCTTACTGATTAGGTTTGTACAACAGTTCCCAACACTTTTTTTCTGAAAATTAGAGAATTAATATACATATTAAAACTGGTTTGGCATCAGAAACATTTTCATATACTCTTAAGGTCCTACAAGAATGTGTGTGTTCTTAATGATTGTGTGTTAGAATTTTTCTCAATAATCAAAGTATATGGTGGGGTTGATTAATAAAAAAAGGGTTTGATAAATCCTTTAAAGTGTCAAAAGTCAAACATTTATAAATGGATTAGTTTTAATAAGATTGTGTGTGTAAGTTAAAAATATTTTCTCAAAAAGAAAATAAACATATCACTCTATTAATTGAGGTTAATTTAGGATTATTTGCATTTTTTATTTAGAAAATGTTTTTTTTTTTCTAAATATTAAATTTCTTTTTATTGTGCTTTGCCTGAACAGGGAACAATTGATCCTCCAGACCCTTCCTCACTGGATCCATACCTGAATATAAACTAATGGTTTATTCTTTTATTTATTGTGTTTCGTCAAACTTAATATTTAATGGATTTATTCAGATTTTATTCTTTTGATTGTTATGTTTAGGTATGTATAGATCAGTAATAACTGGCAGGTATAATACAAATTATGTATTATTGGTATTTGCAATGCCTTCAGAAGAAAATGTGACTAGGAAAATGATTCTGATTTTAAATTTACTTCAGAGGAAATCAACCTAAGAATTTTGGCTAAAACACTGGAATCAAAACAACAACAAAGATAATGATTTATGTCAGAACAATTTATGGAGTAAGAACAATATTTTATAACAGAATTTTAAATAATACTTGAGAATAGAAAGTTTTATGCACACTGTAGACATTTTATATAATTTTAAGATGATCTGTTTGGACTCATTCTTTTTATTGCTTTTGCTGTGATCACAATCTTTCAGCAGATTCATTTTACAGCCTTCCTCAAGTGTACAAAGATACATTTAATAATTTTAAGATGAGTTATTATCATTGCAATAGTTATATGGATAAATGATTACATAATATCTTGCTTTTGACTGTTCCATTCTACAGGCTTCTTCAGGTGTCATTTTGAAATATTATCATTTTAAGTGTTGTTTGGACAACTGATTTTGTGCATTCTACAGCCTTCTTCATGTGTAGAAAGATACATTCTGCAATTTTAGCATAAGTTGTTAGCATTCCAAGAGTTATTTGAAATGACTGTTTTAATGCTTTCATTCTACAGCCTTTTTTGATGTTATTCTAAAATAGCTTATCATTTCAAAATTTGTTTGAACTGTTGATATAATTATTTTTGTGGCTCTTATTGTTAGCACTACCTATTCTATAGACTTTTTCAAGTGTACAATTCTTAAGGGAAAAAAAGGGTCTTTTTTTTTCCTTTTTGTTTTAGGTTAGAAAAAGCCAAGATGCGGTGATCAAGAGTGATAAAAAGCTCCATAAAGAATAAGGCCAAGCAACTTTTGAAATTTTAGAGATGCATTGATATATAAATATTACTACTTTGTTAGGTATGAAAACTGGTGTGTGAGTAACTAGGAACAAACACAGTAATTTAAAACTATTTTATTTGAACTTTAAAGTGCACTTCAGTTACTATGTATCAAAGAAACACTGATTTTTGCTTTCTTTTAAAACTAAAATCCCAGGTGAGAATCAACGTGAACTGCTGTATCTGTCAAGCACAATGGATCACATTTTTGGTCTTCAGATCCATGAACATTTGTTGTTCTACAGTCGATGGTATTTGCCAAGCATCCATATGGTTGATATGATCACAGGGAAAGATGAGATCTTTATTGACCATTTAACAAGACCAACTGCAATTTTTGTGCACCATCCTGCAAATCTATCAGGTAAGGTTTTCATCTTTATTCTCATTTCATCTTGTTCTTTATTAAGTTAGCAAAACAGTTTTGTGCATTTTTTCTCTGTTTATTCTGTGAACAGAGTTCATTGAGTAGCCATTTCTCTAATGTGTATTTTTTAATGCAGATCCAAATATCCTCTTTCATTGCTTGTGTTGATCCTTAATGCAAGCATCTGATATGGTTGAAGCTGATCAGATCCTGCAAATATCCTCAGTTTCTTATTTATATTATTTACATTCCTATCTTATTATGTCACTATTACAGTCATGATAACCTCTCACTTTCTGTCTATTGAACCAGGTACCCTTCAGACAATTTTCAAACTGAACACTTTATTTAATCTACAGGGCATACATTGTTCTCATTCTGTGATAATTCATTTTAGATTTCCTAAGTAGAGTGGAGAATATTTATTTTATTTAAATAGATATAAATACCATTTTGCTTTATATTAATATCTCCCATTCAACTATTCAAATATGCAGCTTACACCATAATCTCAAGTATTGAACTGCACGACCACTCAAATGGAATGTGGTACTAAATAGGAGTTTCATGCATACCTGTGACCAGAGACCAAAAGCAACACAATAATCACAGGTATTTAACGAAACACCTACTGAAACAGAATGTGGCAGAAGGCCAAATTTAAAATGAACATCTCCCATCTCATCTGTCATAAGCTTCAATATGAAGTTTATATACCTATGGTTTTAACCATTGGCTACCCATGATTAGTCAATGGCCAACACCGTAGTTGCTATGTAAATTAGTTAGCAGCACCATCTACCTTGATCAACCAAACATCAAAGAAATCATAACTCATATCAACTCACACCTTGGAAAGAGTGTTAATTAATTAACAATAAAAAAAAACATTTTTTCTGTGTGACAGAAAACTGATTTTCAAATCAAGCTTAGTATTTACAAAGCATAAGTTTATGGTTTTAGCAAAAAAAGAAGCTTTCTTGAATTGCTCTAGACACACCCATTGTTATTACTGTAGCTGCAGTACACCAATGATCATACAGTAAAAAGACTCAATTTTGAGACAAATTAATATTATCATTTCTAGAGTTGTTCATATTTTAAACTTTGTTCTCTGTGTTGCTTTTATTGTCACTAAAGTAATCCATCTGATTAATTCTTTGCCTTTCTTCAAGTCTACATAAATGAATTCTTGAAGTTTTAGAATGGTCATTGTCATTCCAAGATTACTGAACACATTGCTGTAACAACAAAAACAGTTAACATCTCCACTTCTGGATGTTGATGTCTCAAATCTGAATCTTGAAATATACAAACTTTTGGCTGTTTACACCATCAGCAATTCCATAAGTTGTAATTGCTTATACTTTAACATAAGGGGCTTATATATCTATGGTTTTAACCATAGGCCAATTATTAGTGATCAATGGCCCAGCATCACAATTACTATGTGTAATGAGTTAGTACAAATTAGTCAGCAGTGTCATCTACCTTGATCAGCCAAATATCAAATAGAATATAACTCCCATCAACTCTTATTTTGCAAAAAAGCATTGATTAGTTAACAATAAAAAATGAAACATTTTTTTGTGTGTCAGGAAACTGATTTTCAAATAAGCCTCAGTATTTATAAAGCAAATTTTGAAGATATCAGCAAAAAAAGTGGGTTCCAGACATTATTTTCCAGATTTGATATAATTAGATTGTATAAATTCAGAAGATAATGTACATAAAAGCATTTGATAAGTTTTATTTTTGTCTTTTCCTTTTTTTAACCAACATAAATTCTTTTTTGCTATTGTCCCTCATTTTTAAAAATTTTAAACAATGTTTTTATTCATGGAGTCTTATTTTATATAATCTTTCAAACACGAACTTCAAGGAAGAAATAGCAGATTACTGTAGCGTTTTTTACATATTTATTCCAGATAATTTACTCTTTAAACTGATAAAGATGTAACTTTTATATTAAACTCACAGATACCATTCTTTTTCTGATGATTGTTTTGCAAAAGGTTACAAAGTAAGAGCTTTGTTCTCTATATATATTTGTCAGAAAGAAATATAATTTGTCAATGCAAAAGGATATTGAATTTTTTTATCTCTTCACAGGCCAGACAATGACATTTTTTTTAATGCACAAAAATCATAAAAGTGACAAAAGAATTCTTTTGTTAGAGTCAAAAGCTTATATCCCAATTCTAAAGAGACTGAAAGTGTTTAAGAACACACTAAAGGACAGTTTTGTTTGCTAAATATATATCAACATAAATTTATTTCAGCAAAAAGCAGTTAAAGCTAAAACACTCCATGTTATAATGCCTTAAACTATATCTTTAATCAAAAGTGGCTGAAAGTGCTTGACAGGACACTAAAGGACAGTTTTGTTTGCTAAATATTTTATATTGGACAGTTTTGTCCTTAATGTATTTTCTATGATATTTTTTCAGTCTTTTATTTTCTGTATTTCAGAAAACAGTTTATGCAACACAGAGAAGAATACATGCAGTGGAATATGTGTGCCAGTTCCTCATGACTACCATTGCACTTGTGAACCAGGCTATCAGCTTGAAGATGATGTTTGTGTAGAAAGTAAGTCAGACATTGAGATCTGTCAAAAGTAAATGGAGAGGGGAATCCATTTGGTCTATATATTGATATCTATGTATATAAGTATTTTGCAGCTCCTGAATAAATGAATAAAACCAACAAAGTGCAATTTACAACACACAAACATGTGTTTGTGTACATAAATATATATATACATACATATATATATATATATATATATATATATATATATATATATATATATATATATATATATATATGTAGGTAGCATCAGGATTTTGAATGGTGACTTTCAAATCTATTCCTTCTAAGAAAATTGGTACAACGACTCTTCCTACTTACTATTAAACATCAACTATTTTGTTCTGTGCTAGACTAAGTGAAGCATATATATATTGACATAAATAAAATATTTTTTATATAGATATGGTTTGCAGTTTCAAAATATAAAAAAATAGAAATAATATAAAGAAAAAACTTTTAAAATTATATTAGAAAAAATAAATAACTATAAATAGTTAATTAAATAAAATTTGAGGTTTTAATTTAAACTGGTTAGCAATAAAGAAACATATTTCTACTAATTAGTTTCTGTTTCAAATTTCTCTTAATCCAATATTTTCAGTAAAGTTTATTGATTGCGATTATTTGTGATAATCAAAATACTAAACAGAAAAAAATCTCTGTGCTTTAAGTTGTTGTGGGGACCAAATGTCACTGATCACAATGTTGAGTAGATGAAATGTTAAACAAAATAGAAAAAGATGATATTTAAATTTTAGAATTGAATTAGAAATTAAAACCAGCAGTCACTGAATTGAAAAATTAAATGAAGGTTATGAAACTGGAATAAAAACTAAAACATGAACTGTACAGAAATAATAATGAGCCAAGCTAATTTGAATATATAGCAGGTTGAAAGTAGATTGGAATTTTAATTGACACAACCCACATTTTATAAAGGAAAATAATTATGCTTGCTTTTTTTATCTTTTCAATAGGTTATTTAACTTTTAGAATTGTAATGGCTAGCTGCTCTTATATAAGTATGCCTGTCTGTTAGGGTGGCTAGCTAATTCCTGTTGCAGGCGTCTGCTCAGGCATATTTGTGTTTTTCAACACCCACAGAGCCCACCTGTGGCTTCTACTAAAACTATTCTGAGCAGATTTTAGTTACTGTTTCTGGGAGAAAACGCATTATCTGGCATGATTAACAGTCTGAACAAGTCCAATACACTCAAACCCTCAGCCACAATAATTTGCAACTTCATGCTAACTCAACTTTCAATGGCTCTCAAGGCTTGCATCAACCCATAGTATGGTTATCAGGATTTTTTCATTTAATGTTTGTACTATTTTAATGACTCTATTTCAACACGGTAGCCCTCATCTATTTTTTCCTGTGCTGGAGGAAGTGAAAAATATATACAAATATATATATATATATATATATATATATATGTATGTATGTATTTTTAATTAAAATATATCAAACACTTAAAATCCTTTAGGTAATAATAATGAAAATTTTCATTTGTGCATTGTTTGTATGTTTTGAAGACTGAGAGCTGCTTTTTTTTAGAGCTCTCATAAAATAAAAATTATTACTGATGGGATTTTAAATGTTTGATATTCTTTAATTAATAATAATTTTGCTCTGTCTTTTGACATAGTGATCTCCTTGGATCTATATCCTCCTGGAAATTCTATATGGTTTACCATATTGTATCATTACTATATATATATATATATATATATATATATATATATATATATATATATATATATATATATGTGAATACTGTGGTCAACATCAAGCAGCGACAGTCTGTTTCTTGCTTGAACACAATCTTCAGGCCATCTTTTTTTTCAATAATATACAGAAATAGAAATAAGAGAATTAAACCTCTTTTTAAATTTAATAAAAAAAATTCATAATAGTAAATAGGGTAATGTTTAATCTTTGTACCTATAAAAATAAAATGGTGTGCCAAAAGGATGTTTTTTTCCTTGACACTGCTATTACTGTCTACACTTTTGACTCCCTCAGGAATGTTTATTGTTTTAAAAAATAATAATTAGAATTTTAATAAAACCCAAGCATTTGAATGTGAATTTATACATTTTCATTATTCTTGAGAATTGCCAACAATAATATTAAATACTATTTATTTATTAGATTGTTTATTTACAAGAATAATTTTATATTTATAAGAATATAAAAATATGTGAACCAGCTATAATGAAATATTTATTATTTGTCATTCTATAAAGAAAGAAATATAAAAATAAATTTTTATTCATGAATTGATAAAAATTTCTGTGAACAAGAAAATTTAAATAAACACATAACAATGAGTAACTGTAATTATAAAATTTGAAAAATGCATTTTCCTGGTATTTCCTTCCTTTTGCTTTCACTACGTATATTCAATAAAATAAGTTGAGAGCATCTCTTGCTCCTACATATTTTGATAATTTCATAAATTTTTATATGTACTTTTAATAAAAAGATTTATTTTTAAAATTTATTTCTTTATACATAAAATGGTAAATAATAAATCTTTATAAAATATCACATTGTATTTGGTTCACATATTTTTGTAATCTTGTAAATAAACATTGCTTTATATATAGTCTCTACAATAATAGCAGTATCAAGGGAATAACCGTCTTTTTGACACACCGATTTTTGTGGGTACAAAGGTTAAACAATGTTGTAAATAGTTTATTAATAATGTAAGATAATGTCCAAGATGCTCTGTCAGGTTTTAGTTTCTCAATGTTGTGTTCTCTGACATTTAGTCTGCACAATGTATAAATACATTCAAATTTTATTTATAAATATTTAATTTAAAAGTACTTCTATTGTTGTAAATAAAAATTTGAAGATTAAAATTATTATTATTATTTTTAAAAATTATAATTTTAGAAATAACAGAAAGAAATAATAAAAAAATGAACATATCAAGGTTAAATAATTTTATTAATATCAAGATATACAAAACCCAATATGAAAATATGAAGTAATTATGCTGTTATTGATATTTCATTTTTATAATAAATAAAATATCAATGAATATCTCTTTATCAAATGTTGGAATCTTAGCAATGTCTGTTTACTTCAAATAATATTTCTAAACATCAAAGAATGTATCAAATATTTAAACAAAGCCAACGAATTTAATAGTTTTTTTGGTATTTATATATTCCCAGCATGCATGAATGTAAATACGAAGAAACTTATTTATTTTGTACTTGATTAAAAATTTATAAGAAAAGAACACAGCCAAGAAAAAAGAAAAGAAAGATCACTTAATAATACAAACATTTCATCTCATGAAATAGTTACATTTTAACCACCAAAGACAGGCTTCCCATACAATCACCGAAGTTAAGCAGTGTCAAGCTTGGTCAGTACCTAGATGAGTGACCACTTGGGAATAGACATGCATTGGTATAATGGATAAAGGCTCGGAATTATTACTTGGAGAGCCGATTCGCATTGGTTTCATTATATTTACTGAAAATACCCTTGGCAAAGGTATTAATCCACCTCTTCTCCCTCACTTATAGGTTAATTATTACGACTTGTATCACTAAATTATTATTAACTCTCCAAAAAATTTTACAATTTAAAATTTTTCCTGGCTTTAAATAACCTGCAAAGGGTTGATAAGCCATAGAAAATGAATCCATCAATAAAAATAAACACAAAAACATAGGTCAATGTTTAAATGCAAGCACTCCTCCCCTAGAAGATGGATGCAACACAATCTTCCTTACTGTTTACACTTCTGCTATATTAAGTCAAACTTACTAAATATCAAAGGCCAGTATTTTAAATACACATAGTGAAGATAGAATTCTATTGTTTTAGAAATATTCTCCTATTTCGGGAATATATCTTTGGCTGTTCGTCAACCTCTAAAATGATGCAGTAAATCCTTGCAAAGAACTGTCATTTTCTGTGGATTCAACCACCATCAATGAGGAAAAGAGACAGTGATCAGAGCAACATGGACATATGGGATCTATCAGGCAATTCACTTTTGCCCAATAAAGCCAACAAAAAAAGAACAGAAAAAAATCAGTTCTACAAAGCTGGTGACACTGCCAGCTACCAATCCCTCTTCTTTAATTGATGTGGAAAAGTAGGCTGTTTCTGTGTAGCCTCATTAAAAACTTGAACAGAGGTGTTATCACCTTGCTTGAACTGATTAAACATGACATGACATGACATAAGACATGATAGATATTATACATATATATATATATATATATATATATATATATATAAGACATGATCAACCTTCCCAAATCATTGTTTGTGAAGCCAAGCCACGATATATACATATATATAATCAGCACCTGAGGATTGTTGGAGTCATGCTATCAGTGAGGTATAATATGTACATTTATTAATATACATATATATATATATATATATATATATATATATGTATGTATGTATAATATCTATTGTATGAAATTTTTTAAATTTAAATTTTTTAGAATTTCACATTCATTAAATTACATTTAATAACAAGCTTCTAGGGACAACCTATTTTATTACTTTGTTTTAATTGCAAGTCTGTTCCATCTGCTGTGCATCACCTCATTTTTATATTTAGGAGTACAAATTTTGCTTGTTTGTTTTATAGTGACAGATTTAAACTTTGACCTTAAAAATATGACACTGGTGTGCTCTAGCCTGTTGACATGGAAGCAGTGAAAAGATGACAAACACATTTATTTTGATGTTCCTAAGCACATAATTAAATAAATCTGTTATATATATTAGTGGTAAAAAGGTCAACAATATCCGATAATAATGCATCATCACAAAAATATTTTTTTGTTAAAAAACTATAAAGAAACAATAGGGATAATTTGGGGTAGGTCAGCGAACCACCCACAGAACCAACTTGTAAATATTACTCAAAACCTAAGGTAAATTACTGTCTGATTTTCTTGGATGAGGAGTTATCATTATTTGCATTACGTACATGTGAAATATT